ATGTAATTTTTACCATTTATTTTTTAAATGACCAAAAAAAAAAAAAAAGACGAGGCCCGAACCAATTACCCGGTCCGGGCCGGGTTACACATTTTTTCCCTATCCGGGCCGGCCCGCATGGCAGTTTTTTTAAGAGGCGGGCTATGCCCGGACTTTTCAGTGTGCGGGCGGGCCCGGCCCGGCCCGGCCGTTTTGACATCCCTACTTGGGCGCCATTTTTCTATCTATCGTCCCTTTTTGCTTGTTCGTACACTTCAATACCCCCCTTTTCACCTCTTTACTACACCTTTAAAACAACACTAGCAAACGCATTAAAAACGTTCTATAATCATAAAATTAAGCCAACAATTAAATTAAATTGATATAAAACTCGTGTGCAAAACACACTTATCAGTAGACCATATTTAATAGCATAGTCAGACAAGTACATACTTTCTTTTCCTCCACAGGAGGAGGCGGAGCAGATGGTTTTACAGCAGCAGGATCGACTGGAGGCAATCCAAGCATCCGTCGTCTTTCAGCCTGTTAAAACAGAAATGCATTGCTTCAAATACTGCATGTAATTTATAGATATTTTTAGATTCCAAGGGTAACCTAATGACATATTTTATGTTGTAGGCAATTCTGATGCCGATCATGGTGAAACCAAGTCTCCACCATTAACTCCCATGACCAAAGAAAAAAGAGAACAAAATTAATATCTATATGCACAATAAAGTAACCATCTTGATATCGTTTAGAGACCATTATTTTGAATACTGGTTAATCACTGAATAATTGAAACAAGAAATGGGAGGGAATAATCAAGACCTTACCTTCCTCCAATTTTTGACGAATTTTTTCCCTGGCTCTTTTCTCTTACTCTTTCTCTGTTTTTCGCAAAGCTATTATACTATAAGAGCAAGTGCAAATCCAACTCAATATCAAATTTTAACATCAAATAATTGAATAAATATATAGAAGTACACAGCTGAGGGCAAACCGTTTTCTTTCATTTTCTTCTTCAATGCGCTTTGCTTCAAGCAGTTCCTTACCGACCCAAATTCTTTCCTGTCATAGTATACATAGCCACATCACTGAGAAATATGAGATAAATTCACATGAACTAGTGTTTACAACAGAAAACATGGACCAATGCTTAATTAATAAAGAATAATAGTCTAGATCATAATTTAAAAGAACTCTGCACAAGAAAGCACACAAAGATCTGTAGTAGACAATTTCAACTCAAATTTCGATAATTGCATTTCCCAGTAATAAACAATTTGATGCAGACACAGTCACAAGCCACGAGTATTTATCTATTTTTTTTCTAAAGAGTTGGTAATTTGTAAATACAAAAAGCAATTATGGACGTGCCTTTTCTCTCTCTCTCTCTCTCTCTCTCTCTCTCTTTCCATTCGTTTTTCTTCCTCTTCTTTCTTTTTGCGAGCCCACTCCCTAGAATTTATAAGGTAATATAGCTTAATGGAAAAACAAGAAGAAGTTGTTGTGCTTCATACCAAACAAACATGAGGACCTTGGGAGCAATGTGCAAATTTGGAAGCGGAAAAAGTTCGCGTAATGGCTACTGANCAGTCACAAGCCACGAGTATTTATCTATTTTTTTTCTAAAGAGTTGGTAATTTGTAAATACAAAAAGCAATTATGGACGTGCCTTTTCTCTCTCTCTCTCTCTCTCTCTCTCTCTCTTTCCATTCGTTTTTCTTCCTCTTCTTTCTTTTTGCGAGCCCACTCCCTAGAATTTATAAGGTAATATAGCTTAATGGAAAAACAACAAGAAGTTGTTGTGCTTCATACCAAACAAACATGAGGACCTTGGGAGCAATGTGCAAAATTTGGAAGCGGAAAAAGTACGTGTAATGGCCACTGAATGGTTGATGAGTATGTACAAGCTACAGACTTCTACAGAAGTCTCATACTAAGCCCAAAAATAAGAAAAACTTTTGGGCTTGCGTGTAATATTATTTTATTGAAGAATACGTGGTTGAAATGTGGTCAAAACACTATTGAAGAATGCATTTTTTAAAAAAAAAATTGAGCTCAAACAAAGGCTTAATAGACACTTTTGATTCAAAAAATACAAATCCTTGTTTCGATCCGTGCGAGTGGAAAGACACATCCTTTCAAGCATTATAGCAAAATATCCATGAGACTATTCAAGGAAAGCTAAGTTTTGCATGTGCATTGATTTATTTCTATCCTTCTATCTTCATGCAAAAAAAAAAAATGCTTCCTTTGTACCCCTCTTATTGGTCAATAAATTAGGAGAATAAATTAATATGCGATGTTTTCCCAGTGCATCTTCTTTCTCTTCATCTTCAATGTTATGAAGTACCCACTCAGTTTCTGGCACGTAACCTTGCTGTCTAGCACCTGTTGTTATTTCTTCCAGTCTCAAGTAGATCTCTTGCGTACTTTGATGAGACTGATCACCAGCTACAAAATTATGCACTTGGTCATCCACCTCAATGGAGCTCCATCCAGGATCTTTGTCTACACCTCTATCCTTCATGGAAATTCTCACAGTTTCCACATCTTCCCATCTCCCTACGCCAGCATAAACATTTGACAGAAAGACATAGCTGCCCGGATGGTTAGACTCGAGCTGCAGGAGCTTCTCTGATGCAAATTTTGCCATTTCAATATTTTTATGAGCTCTGCAAGCACAAAATAGTGAACCCCAAATCACAAAATCAGGATCCCTTGGCATGCTTTGAATAAAATTTAGAGCCTCCTTCAGCTGTCCAGCCCTGCCAAATAAATCAACCATAATGGCGTAATGCTTCATAGTCGGCTGGATGAAGTAGTCACGCTTCATGCTATCAAACAACTGAAGGCCCTGGTCCACTTGACCAGCATGCGAACATGCAGTTAAAATGGCAAGAAAAGCAACATCATCTGGTTTCACTCCTACAAACAACAAAAATCATGTTTTGATTTCACATTATATTAATCTGAAGTATCAATAAGAAAGCAGCATGAAAAGTTATGCAAACTTTAACAAATGAACAAACCTGACAACTTCATCATCTCAAAGTAGCGAAGAGCTTTCTCAATATGTCCATGTATTCCCCAACCCCATATCATTACACTCCAAGTACGAATATCTTTCTCCTTCATCTCCCCAAAAACTTGGCTTGCAGACTCAATATACCCACATTTTGCATACATATCCACTAAAGCAGTTCCAACAGCAACATTCAACTGAAATCCATAATTTGAAACATAATCATATATCTTTTTGCCTGCCTCAAGTGCACCAATTTTTGCACAAGCAGAAAGTGCAGAAACAATGGTCATCTCATTTGCCCTGACGCCCTCCTTTTTCACCATCATCATAAACATCTCTAATGCCTTTTCATGCATCCCATTCTGTGATAATCCATGAACAATTGTTGTCCAAGAAACCACATTCCTCTCCTCCATTCGATCAAAAAATTCAATGGCCTGTTTCACCTCTCCATTTCTCATCAAGCCATTAATCATGCTATTCCAAGACCCAATATTTCTCTGTGGCATCACCTCGAACAACTCTAATGCCTTCTTCAACTCCCCATTTTTGCAACATCCATTAATTATCACATTCCATAAAAGGACACTCTCAACCTTATTTCTCTCAGTACTTCCATAGAAAACTTTCAAAGCATGCCCCAACAACTCCACTTTCACATACATATCAACCAAAGAAACCCTCACAAAATCATCATACTCAAGACCCATTCTCAATATCCCACCATAAACCAAGTCCCCCGCCCATTTTACATTCAACCCCGTAATAGACTTAAGTACAAAAGGAAATGTAAGCCTATCAGGTCTAACATTCAGCTTCATCATAAGCCTAAAGTGCTGAATTGAGCTAACAAAACAAGAACTCTCACATAACCCTCTAATCAATGCGTTAAAAACAAACGCATTTGGGTACTTCAAATTACGAAATATCGAAAGTGCATAGTCAATGGACTTACGGGAAGAGGAGGAAATTAATTGGGTGGTGATTTTGGAGCTGGAAGAAAGGCCGTGAAGCATAACATGGGAATGAATTTGTTGGAGTTGAAGTAAGGTTTTGGAGGCATGGATGAGTGATACAAAATGGGTTTCAATTGAATTTTCATTTTGACTCGAATTTGAAGCGGAATTGATGAAATTTTGATTTGGTTTCTTCAAGTGGTTACTTATGGAGGGAATGACAGTTTTTAATTGAGAGACACTACGAACATTACTCATTGAAGTGCAAGTCTTTCGGGGGTTTTGGCTTTGGCGCTGTTGAGGCCTAATATTTCATTTCGATTGATACGAAGCTCTTGAATGTCTAATGATCATCCACTCGTTTTTTAACCTTAGGATAGGAGTTAGAATAGAGTTAAATGTTTCATTGGCCTTCATCAACTGTCCCATTGGCCACTGAACTTTGATCCGTCCAACTCCGTCACTCACCCGATGAAAACCGTCAATAGAGGAGCCTACGTGGATGATGGTAAGATGATTTGGCCGGTTAAATCCTTCCAAGTGGTGTTTCAAGTCCCAACTTAGCTTCCACATCAGCAAAACTAAAATTCATTTAACCAAACACGACTTCACCATTTCTTCATACACGACTTAACCAAACCGATACTTTTCAACAAAGCCTACACTAAAACTCACCGACGAATACGATCGTGCTGAAATTCTTTGGTTTGTGGATTTTGATAAATCTTTGAAAAAAATTAGAATGCCTGAAAACTCTAAAAATACGTAATAGTTCACTAGAAATGATGAGTACACTTCACAAATCAACCAAAAACCGTAAAATCAGATGGTTTGGGGAGACAAATCTTGGAGGTTCTAGATTTCAATTGCGGACAAATTTACCTTCAATGCAGTTCAAATCACGGTAGCTCTCCAATGAAGACTTGAATACTGTATCCTGTCGGCCAGATTTTGGGTTTCCTTAAACTCTTCGCACCTATTGAATTGATTTTGGGAGTTAGGGTTCATAAAATTAATTGGGGATTGCGACATTGATACGGAGGAAATTGATTACGTCAAAGGGTTTGGGTTTTGTCAAAGTCGTGCTGTCCTTTGGTAAGGCTTGTTTGGTGATGCGGAAGCTGATTTGTCAAATGACTTATTACTTGTAGTCCTTTAACAATAAAGTTATTTGTACAAAGTTGAGTTACAAAAATTTGGTTACAACGTGTGTTGGCAAAATTCAGACCTTTGATTTCAAATGATTTAAAAATCTGTTTTTAAAATAATTGGTGTAAATGTTATTTTGTAATCCAATTTTGTAATCCAACTTTGTACATGTAGCATAACTCACGGTCATATCATCTTACAATCATCTACGTAAGCTCATCTATTAACTGTTTTCATCGGGTGAGTGACGGAGTTAGACGGATCAAAGTTTAATAGCCAACGAGATAATTGATGAAGTTCAATGAGTAAGCCATAACATGATATAAAATTTAGTGGCCAATGAAACATTTAACTCGTTAGAATACCATGATCTTTTGACAACCTAATTATTGAATCTCGATTCGATTCGACTCATCTTAAATTAAATCAGGTGATGTGTATTAGAATTCAGGATCGAAAGTTTGAATTTTTTTCTCAAATCTAAATCTAGAATCGAAAACTTGAATCAATGACCAAAAACTGGTTCATTAATTTGGTTGGTAAGTAGTACCATAAAAATATTTTATTTGTATTATTTTTAATTTATATTTCATTTTTTCATGTAGTTTTGATGGCTTGAAGGGAAGATTCAATGGGACGAAAAGGAAATTCTTCTATGTTTTGCTATTATTATTTTCTTTCAGATTATTCATATTTTGAAAAACAGCAAAATGATAATTACTCCTGGATTCTAGTTTTGACTTCTCCAGTAATTAATAAACATATTCTAAAATAAATTAAGAAACCAAATTGCAGCAAATTTATGCATAAAAATAAATGTAAATTTATTTTAATATTTCTCTAATGGAAAATGCCTTTATTTTGTTATTTTATAAACTATGATATTTAATAGTTATTAATATTTTTATTTTATAGTAATTATAGTGAATACATTTTCTTACAGAAATATTTGATAATAACACATATTGTTATAAAACTAAAAATAAATTTTAAAATATTATTAATTGAAAATAACAATACAAAAGGGTATAAAGGTTCATTTTAGTAATTAAATGTATGCACGCCCACATCAATTAATCACACATGATTATTAAACACTAAAATGTTGATTTTGAAGCATTGAGCAATTCTGAAACAAAAGTTTAGCAAATATTTAACTACTTCTTTTGACAATTGATTATTTTTTTCAGGCAAAAGCTGATTCTTTTATCACAACAGTACCAAACCAATCCTATATCAGACTCAACAGATCGTTTATAGTTAAGTCCGATTAGTTTATGCCTAAAAAGATAACTATAAAATGTGTAAACTACTAACTATACTTCTATTCTTCCCAATTATATATTGCTCATGTTTTAACTCCATTTTTCAAAATTTTATGTTTGACTGCATTTATTTTTAATCATACATTCTCTCAATAAATACTTTTTTCTTGCATTTTAGCCACACATTCTCTAATAAAACATTTTATCTACAAAATCTATTCTCAAAAAATGGGTTGAAAGGGGCATTAATTCATGTAAGTTCATATAAATTAAGATTAGACATCCCGTCGAAATTCGAATCTTCCTATGGCGTGTTTTCATTTGGCATTACCAAATGTGACCAACTTAATTCGAAGGAAACGGGTTACTGAGAGAAGATGGTGCCGATGTGGGGGGAAGGAGAGTAGTTGGCATGCTTTGTTTACCTGAAAGGCAGCTCAAGCACTGTGGAAAGTAATGGGGGTGGTGGGGCAGGGTGAATAAGCTAGAGAGGCACATTTGAATCGCGTTGTCCGTAGTTCTTGTCAATTCATTCTTCGTAATGAGAATGGTTCTTGTCAATTCATTCTTCGTAATGAGAATATGGCATCCCGTGTGCTTGCAGCACGAGCGTGTCTAGTTGATGGTTCGTCTGTTTGAACTGATTGTATTCTATATCTACAATCAAGAGCTGAATAAAAAATGTTCGATTTTCATTGCTAGAAACCAAAATCGTTTAAATTTTAACTAAAATGGACATAAACCCCCTTGTTCGATTCTTACCTGATTCAAGTGGTTCCAAGGAAAAATACCCACACCTTAAAATTTCTTGACTCCTCTCATCGCCGAACCAGCTTACCAGCAAGTTACCTCTTTCGCATCTCTCCCCCTTGCCAGAGTTTTTATGTCTAGAGTTCTGGGAATAGCACCTAGAATATGTATGAACCCTTTTATCTTCTCTAAATTAGAAACTTGTTTACTCTCATGTATTCAAGGTAACTTCCATTTAACTTTCTGTCCACCCTACAAAATAAAAAGGAAAATAACTTTCCTCTCAAAAGGATACACAAATCTCAATTATTCACATCCAGTTATCAAGTATCAACCTTCAACCGAATGCGAAGTCAGCACATCAAAGATGTAAATACAATTCAAAAAGTTCATGGCTACTAGTACTGTAGCAAAACAAAATCTAACGGGCTAGAAAGCATTTGCAAAAATGCCGTCAAGTTACACCAGAAAAACACAAAATTGAGGGAGGAAGACCAAGTTCCCAAACCCGAGCAAGAAAGAACTGGCATAATATCTGGGGGAAGAAGTAAATAAGAATTGAAAACACAGATTGACTACTAGAATGCAAATCATAGAGCAGGCTCTTTAATTGCAGAACAGCGATCAAGGAGAGGATAATCTTCAAAATAATTTCTATATTGAAAATATTTTTTCACACACAACTACACAAGGTAAATTATCAACTTACAATGGTTCCCATCTGAGTAATAAACCAAAGTACTTAAACATAAGATTCAGAAAACAGCCATACTCTAGAATTTGAAAAAGTTTAGATCATAGAACTCCAAAGAAAGGATTATTTATTGCACCGCTTAGCTCGTTCCCAGCAGACTGAAGTACCGCAGTGTCAACTTTTTCCCTTGGCAGATACAAAAATTCACCCCCTTCAATTTTCTCGAATCCACAAAGCTCCAGAAATTCGATGCCTCCTTTCAGATTTCCAACTCTATCCTGTTAATTAAGCATGGCGGCCAGCAATTATGAGAATCAAATGTGAAAAAACTAATAAGAGTATGATTCATTAAAATCGAAAGGAAAAACAACAAGAATACTGCTCATTTGCATCATCTGGAGGGGGAACGAATTTATTTTTTGAAAACAATAAGAACAGTGTAATCGTTTAACCTGAAAAGCAGGATTGCTGAGTTTAATTTTGCGGAATTTCTCCTCATTTGGATTTGTTGCAACATTTTTTGCATAGGTAAACAGTGTGTTAAAAGCTGTCTTCACTTTGGCATCATTATCCTAATTCATCAAAAGTAGATAAAAGAGCAGCTCAGTCAAAATAAACTTCACCCGTGACTTAGTGAAATATATCGCAACATCAAATCAGTTTAAACACAGTTAACCAGAACAAACAGAAATCCAAATGTAAGAAACAGCAGTTGCAAAACTCAAACTATTTTCATTTGGAAGAACTATGCTTTGATCTATATATATATTTCCCCTCACAATTCAAAGTGTTTCTTCTTCAACCTTGAAGATATTTCTGATCAAAATGAATTTTCTTATCATAGTTAGATCTTGCATTTTGTATCATAATTTAGGGAAATGTGTCTTCTTCAGGTTTTTTGGTTTTTTTTATCAGCTATTTTATCCTCAATATCATATTAGTACCATGCTTCCTTTAACAGATCACAAACTAAGTCTTCTCATTCAATATAACAAACAAACAGAACCATATAAATAAAGCAATCATTACTTTATGATTCTGTTTAAGGTTTCGTAGGCACTCTCTCATTTGTTCTGCCTTTGTAGCTGGCCTGACAGGTAGTGAGCTCTGCAGTTTGGTATTGAAAAGGAAGTTTATTCAGCCACGATTCGACAGCAATAGAGTAGGCCATATTTAATAGCATAATCAGACAAGTACATACT